TCTATTTATTGTTCTAAAACAGTTTTCGACGAGCCCTAGTTTGATATATTAAATAAAAAATAATAATAATGATAATCGTTTAATATATTGATAGTGAAAGTAACATAGGAATTTGCTACTTAAAATTTAAAATAAATAAACAGAGGATGAAGATGGATCTCCTTACTATTGTGCTTTACAATAGTAAGGAGATTATTATAAAAGAAGTCTTATGTTCAAATCTGTTGTAAGTACTGAAACAAGTTCATTTATATTAAAATGTTATATTGTCGTGTAATATATATCGCTTAAACAGACCGGCAATGATTCCCAACAGAGCTCGAGTGATGTTTAGCGATTAGCAGCACTAATTAAATATCAAATTTGACACTTTAATGATCGCTCTCCTGACATATTACACTACTTCAACCAAATAATTACTCCATATAATTATTAGTATTGAAGGCGATGTGTGAGTAATATTATGTGTTTTTATAATGTTGTAAGCTTAAAAATAAAAGAATATAAATAAACTGGTGGCAGGATTGTTATCGTAATATTACAAGTAAAGGACCATAAGACAATCTAGATCATGTTAATATTTATTTTTAGAATAAATTGTTCTTGTCTAGACACTTGGAGTTTTTGTTTTAGATTTTTGGAATGAGAGAATGATGATTTTTTCAATCAGAAAAAGAAACTCTAATGTATTGTTTATTTTCTCGACTTTGAAACTAGTACAATAGTACTAGGATAACATTAGCTATATTTTAATTGCTACTAAAAGTATTACCACCATAAATGTTCATAGAAAAATAAAAAAAACTTTATACAGGAAATATTGGATAAATATATGTTGAAAAGAAAAACATACAAAATAATTAACCCAACCAATGAAATATAAATGAAGCTATTATTTTAAAATTTCTGTTTGATACACTTTGTATATAATGAAGTACCAACATTGATTGAGATCTCATGTTTACTTTCAATCAAATTATTTAAGTTAATTGACCTTGTTGAGAAAAAAAGGGTTCGTCAGCAACAGTAACCAACTGACAGTGATTTATGAGTGGTTATGTTGTTAACTTTCAATATATATATCTAATATTTTGATATACGTAATATATTATAATACAATTCATAATAATAACATAAAATTTTTCGATATCAAAGAATATTTGGTTCTGTAACTAAACAACACACAGTCTGTACTTGGACATTGTCATCACGAATGAGTATTTCATCACAAAACTACCTGCCCCGAGTTTAAAGCAGACTTACTATGTGGATAAAATATATATTTTTGTTAATTGGTGCTGCACAAATCTTAATTTTGTTAATAGTTTTTGTAGGGTTTTTTCATGTAATAAAGTAAAACAAATATTTAATATATTGTCGTTTATATGTAATAATAAACCTTTAAATTTATCTTACTTCATTATGTTCAAGCATCATCTTGTTTTAATTCCTACCGCTACAGAGAGCTTCAAAGCAAACTATTCAGTGTTGTCGCGGACGTCCAGAAACAATCGTGACAAGACTTCAAAGTGTGACTACAAAGAGGATGTCGTTCGGTGCTTTTATTACCAACAGCTATTTGTTACGAAACGTTACGAGATGAGAATTGATTTCAATTCAATTTGCATTACTTTATTCACCAAAAAACTATCATAAAAGTACTTAAAAGGATCCTACATAGGATCCGAGAACAAAGGATTAAGCTTCTTAAATTGCTGTTTTATATTAAATTTTATTCAAATATTAGCGAAAGTTTACGTATAATATGACAAACTAAATTATTCAAATCTATTCTATTATATTATGTATATTCAATATCCTTACAATATACACCATATTTATTCAGGTACCTACATTGTGTATGTTGACAATCGACGTATATTTGTTTTTTGCAGCACATGTCATTGTAATTATTTAGCGTGGCGACTAGACGTTCCAGAAAAACTACAAAACTTATTTATGTGTTTATTATAATAATAATTACATATTAAAACTTATAACCCACACCTAAGACTACATGGTGGCCCCGATGTTAGGACAGCAATGTCATTTCAAAGCTTGTGTAATATCAGGAATCTTCTGGTTCACAAGGCTTGGTGTTCGTTCGCGGAGTCAGCAGCAGCATTCGTTATATGATATCTTATCCATACAACGATGGTGCCCCGGCGATGTTCATTAAATTTTTAACATGTTGCGCGTACGTAACATTGTAGTAAACTTAATCACTTAAAATTGTCTAATGCGGCCCCTTTTCGTTTCATATTCATTTCTTTTATTTTTATACTGTAGAAACAATCTTCATTAAAGGCTTAAGATATATAATCTTTTAGTTATGCGTCACCTGAGTTTAAATTCAAAAAAATATATATTGTAATGAATAAAACAATAAACTAAATATTTTATAAAATAGTTAGGTTCTGAGAGTGTTACAAACTAATATTATAAACATAGTTGATGAATGAAATCCTTATTATTGGAATTATTTTAACACGGCCTTCGTTAATGAAACAATTTTAATTCAATTCTACAAAGAGGAAGGAGCCTAAGCGTTTCTTAAAACTCATTTTATAATTACAACTTCACTCTAAATATAATACTTACATGGAAATAAAGTTATTTTTGAATTTTTATGACACAATCAAATATTTGGTAAAAATATTTATGTTAATTTAAATATTATTACCTATTTTGTGGAGAGATATTTTAAGATTTAACATGTGAACTATCGAAATCACCATCCTCATGAAACTGAATTCAAATCCCTCATTTTTGAGACGACCTTTGAGTATCAGAGTTTATGTCAGGTTTTCCATTTCGAATAAGAACTAGTCTCCAGCCAAATTAGAAGCTTAGAGTTACAAAACTTCTAAATGGTGGTAGTTGATATTTTATCAGTGTTTCCTAAGTATTGGCTGTCTAAACGGAGGGCATTACGGCCTTCAGTACAACAAATAAGGTAAATACTATTTAATAATTCTGTGTACTTAAATAATCTAATCGCTTTATGCTTTACTGAAACAGTTTTCTTTATTTGAGTGAGTCTATTTCAAAATATTTACAATTATAATGATATTACCTATGTATGTATAACTATCTGTATATATAAAAGAAAGTCGTGTTAGTGACTCCACTTATAACCCAAGAACGGCTGAACCGATTTAGCTTAAAATTGGCAGGGAAGTAGTTTAGAACCAGGAAATTGCAATAGGATACTTTTTATCCCGTTCGACAGCATTCCCGTGGGACTTGACATGAAACGTCAGTCACTATAAAACGTGGAATAACGAAACACAATTGACAGCTATGCAATTGACGTATAATGACAGATATACATATAATGATGACGTATAATGACAGATATGTAATGTAATGATGAGAATTTTATATTTGTAAGAAATCTACTATATAAAAATAAGTCCGGTTTTCCATCCTGACGCTATAATTCAGAACGAAAGAACCGAGAAAAGGGGGACAAATCTTTTGTCACATACAGCGCCATCATACATAACATGTACTACAAATCAATATTAAGTATTTTTAAGTAGATGGTGCCGTCGCATGATACATTGTTTGACAGCTACTCATTGTTCTCTTCTCAGTTAATTTCATGAGACAAACCGGTATTGTGTCTGTAGTTTGAACTCTTAAAACCATTTAGTATTTGCGGGATAAATTTAGAAAATCATTGTTTTTCACATGGGCAGTTATATTTTGCGGGTTCATAAGTTTGGAAACCATACACTTTATTTGTATTAAAGTTAGACCAAAAAACAAAAAATGTGGTTTACAAAGGAGCACTTCAATGAAACGGATAATTTGCGGACACGTATAACGCTTCGATTCGGTATCTACTTTCATTTACTTAGAGAAGTTCATCTAAATAACACTTCATTTTTGTAATCAAAATGAATTCATTACTGTTGTGAAATGAAATAAAAATTTTCCTTTTCAATATGAAACAAAAAAAATTCTTCATCTTTTAATCACCAAACGAAGTGTTATAGAAAAGCCTTCTGGTGGCGAAACGGAGTTCGCCGGGTTTTATATATATATATATATATATATATATATATATATATATTATGTAATATGTATATATATATATATATATTATGTAATATAAGTGACCCAACCGTCAGCGACATATATAGTGTGTCCCGTGACTTCACACTCAACACAACTCTTATGGTTTGTTTCTACTGGAAATTGGCTGAAGTTTTCCATATAATATATACCAAATGTTTTTCTAATTTATGAACTATATTACGTTAAAATTTCATTAAAATGAATTCAGTGATTTTGGTACATAAGGTCACCACACTTTTATAGTAAGAGACAATTTAATAAATAATAATCTATGTACATCCTAATGAGACTTAAAACTTTCGCTAGTATTCATTTATATATACATGTTATCTTGAAGTCTGTTAATAATTTATTATTTTTATAACTTGATCAGAGATTAATAAAATTTGGGTATTTTCCTTTCTTATATAATATTTTAAGTAATATAAATATATTTGACTGTTAAGTTTTGGTTTTTGATTCACAAAACTATGTTGCGGATGTCTATGGGCGACGGTACTATCTTCCATCAGGTAGACCGTCTGTTCGGTTGCTCCCTTTAGCATAAAAAAGACGAATCCTCTCATCATTCCATGTATTCACGGTGCGTGTGTCGGGTCCACCGTTGTAGTGAGAGGAGCTTCAACAGTGACTGTGACTTGTGACCCAGGTGTAGGTTTAAGGGACTCTATCTCTGTATCAAATTTCATTAAAATCAGTTCAGTGGTTTAGGCGTGAAAGCGTAACAGACAGACAGAGTTACTTTTGCTTATAAAATTAGTAGGGATGATCCCGACGTTTCGGTTACTAGTCGGCAAATTAATTCATTGATTTTCAAAGAGATCGCAGTATTATAAGATTTTCATTCAATCGATCAACTGATCGACCAACTGGTCGGGCAACTGGTTGGGCAACTGATCGTCCAACTGATCGACCTACTGATCGTCCAACTGATCGACCAACTGATCGACCAACTGATCGACCAACTGATCGACCAACTGATCGACCAACTGATCGACCAACTGATCGACCAACTGATCGTCCAACTGGTCGACCAACTGATCGACCAACTGATCGTCCAACTGGTCGACCAACTGATCGACCAACTGATCGTCCAACTGGTCGACCAACTGATAGACCAACTGATCTACCAACTGATCGACCAACTGATCGTCCAACCGGTCGACCAACTGATCGACCAACTGATCGACCAACTGATCGTCCAACTGATCGATCAACTGGTCGACCAACTGATCGTCCAACTCGCTTCTATCTAAAAACAAACAGGGCCTAACCCTCGCAGCGTCTACTCAGCATTACACAATCCAGTATCCAGTATCCAATATTTGAATCCAGTTCCGGTTATGAATCTTTAATATATGTAGGTACAAAAAAATAACACGATTCTCATATAAATTTCTTTAACACGAACGAGAAAAACTTGTACAAGAATTTACTAAGAATATAGAAACTCTGGATAATAAATGTATTTACTGGCTGACCTTTGTGGATGCAACATCTATGCGTGACATTTGATTATTAAGAAAAAATGTTGGTTAAATGAAGCCATAATATATACATATATACATATTACTTAATATATAAAATTAATATTTTTTATTTATTTATATAAAATTGGTCAAGAATTTTCTTTTCTACTTTAATCAAATGAACAGATGTATTCAAGGTGTAATGCTTTTGGCTTCTGTAAATTTTTGTTGTACTTACCTTTTTTGAATAAGTAGATAAATATCATAGGCGTATATATATATATACATATATATATATATATGTATTTCAGAGTTTTTCATTTCAGAATCGTCTCACTAATACATGAAACGTAAGAATTAGTTATTTATGATACGAGTATTTAACTAAAATATATTTTTACTATACATATATAATTACTACATTTTAATTTATGTGTCGCTTTTCACGGGTCATACCTATATGTCGGTAATACCAAAAAATATATGCTCATATAAAGGAAAATATACATCTTTCAATCAACAATCATATTTCTATAATCTAGATTATCTTCTTCTTCTATATATATAAAAATGGATTGCTGTTCCTTAGTCTCTCTAAACTCGCTCGTAAAACTCGAGAACGGCTAAACGGATTTATCATATCTTACTCTTGAAATGTTCGTGGAGGTTCAGGAAAGGTATAAAAGCTGAAAAAAAAAATAATTTCCGGGAAAACCCTAAAAACAGCGCTTTTCTATTTCCCATACAAACGGGTTTTTTGACATTAGATTTGACAACTAACTAATATGTCAATCATTCTGTCGCACTTTAGAACACGGAGATTTATGGCTTAAGCTTTAAAGGTAAACTCCAAAAATATAATTAAGAAATAATTTATTTCTTGATTGAGGCAGTACGAAGTCTGCCGGGTCAGCTAGTTTATTATAAAAGGAATATTTTTTGACCCGTTGAGCTTCTTGCTTGGATATGTTTAATTAAACACACCGAAAATAAAAAACTATCTTTAGTTTTTTTTATATAAGAAGCTTCCATTTAATATTACCTTATTTTTTTAACATCATTGATAGCCAACGATTTTCCGCCAACATACCATAACATATACTTTTTCTTCCTACATTGCTATGTAAATATACAATCCATCAGTATAAAATTTTTTCCAAGTTAGGTAGAATTCAATATTCTCAAAACAATATCGAAACACCTGTGCGAGTGATTTCCATACTCTCCCAAACCCTGTATAAATTTTCAATTTAGACACCACACATTGAATTTGTTTCTATCACTTTTACTATTTGAATAGATTTTTATTCATTAGTACACAAGCAAGTAGTTGAGTCATTTCTTAAATTAAATCTTAAAAAACTTTATATTACTTAGAATTTTTCTAATTAAATCCTAAACAAGAGCTAATTAAAAAGTTACGTAGCGTTTGCTCCACGGTTATGTCTAATACCAAGTTTATTGATAGAAGACACTACGATACTAAACTTGTCAAAGGTTAAAATAATTTCTTTACAGTTAAAATAATGTTCTTAAAATAAAATTTTAACAAAAAATAATAAATATATACAAAATATTATACGGTTCAGTAAAATTAAAACAAAAATATTATAGACTATAATAGAATAGAGAATTATTATATTTGTAGTTGCATTGTTTGATATTCAGAATAAAACTAAAAAATCTGTAGATAAATAGTTTCCGATGACTTATTTTCTTTTAATAAACGGATGCTCCTTCTGGTAACTGTAAGAAAGTCGACGATTAAATCTTTCTAAAAAGCCTTTTTTGTTTATATTCCTAACAATATTTTCGTCAAAATATTAATTGTAACATTTTATTTCCAAATCACATGAAGTTTGTTGTATCTTATGTTATTAAAATGCTATGTAATTGATAAACAATGTTACAAGTTTTATAAAACTTAAAACACCTGTCTCTAAAAACCAATTGATCCAAAAGACGAAATTCTTATTAATTAATTTACAACGAAATCTCAAAATCTTCATAGACACCATTATTCCAGCAAGTATAATAATGATTTAGACGCTTTCATCCGCGTCTTTGTTAAACTACTTGATGTTTACTTTCAATTAGACAGAGTTTACGTTTGTGCTTCGACAATTCTCCACCGTCCACAGTGCGTACATCAGAAGTAACATATAAGTAGATTAATGAATGTTTGTATTTAATATTAGGCTTGAAAGGAGTATTATTAACAGAAAACATTAAAATATGTTGTAAGTAATTTATGTAATGATTTGGAATTCTAGTAAATGATCAAAGTAATAACTTTTAGAAATATTTTAAACCACATTTTAATTTCCTCAAGTGTTTTATAAGGTTCTGTAACTCAAAAAGAAAAACCGGCACTATTATAGCACTTACTTGGCCGTCATTCGTCTGTCTTTCTGTCAAGCTTGATTTTCTCAAGAATCCTGCAGGTATCAAGCTAAAGGTCCATGCAATAAAACAAAACAATTCAAACAAAATTCGCAAAAGAATCAAAGCTTAAAGGAAACTTCCAGTAATCATAGAATTTTGAAAATTGGCAGGTAGCAACGTTTTATACCACATGACATATGCGAAAATAAATTCAAATAATTATGAATATATTTCCCAATGAATATATATAGACGAGTTGAAATGAAATTATAATCAAATATTTTGAAAGAAAACTAATATCAAGGAGAACTCTATAAGTTGTAATAATATGGATATTTTTTTTAGATAAAAAAACATCTTAACTTCTAAATATACGTATGGAAAACTCGATACACGAGCCCAATTCTTATAGACCGTTTTTTTTATTAATTTTTTTAATTTATTAACAAATGTACTTTTCAATTTAGATCACTTTATCGGAAACTTTCTATCTTCCTCTAAAAACTTGTAATAAAATATCAACATATGAGTTTAAGTAAAAAGCAATAGAATATTTATCTAACAGGTAGTCAAAATACGTTTTATAAATAAATACACGTATTTCTTTATTGATCCAAATTTTCATTATATTTTGGGATTAGTCAAAGATTCAAAGATAATCAAATCTATATATATAAAAATCAATGCCACTTTTCGTTGTAATTCCATAACTCAAGAACGGGCTCACCTATCCAAACCAAATGCTTAGGATTTGGTCGGCATATTTAGTAGATGGTTTATGTGAAGTTTGCACAAAATCGGTCGAGCGGTTCCTCATTTGTCACATTTTTTGTAATAAATGAATTCAATAGAAACTTTTTTCACAGAAACTTTTTTTAAGTTTTGTTGACAGGACAAGCACGTTGTTATGTCATTCATGCCGTCAATTCATTTTGGACGTGGTTTGATTAAATCATATTATCAGCGATAAATTTCTTTTCACATAATTGCATTTGCAGTGCATTCATACAAACGGTGAGTCCTGAATTTATGTATACTTTTCTAAGTTGCCGTATATGATTTCACATGGCATCATATGCGACAGCTTCTTGGGAATTTGTTTTTTTTTTTTGTTCTAATTTTTTTTTTTTCGATTTTTAAGCGAAAACATATGTGCATACGGGAAAAATACCACCAGCCAGACGAGCAAATATAGGTCGGCGAACGCGTAATGCAAATGATGTGGCATTACTAAGACGATCACAGACTGCAGATGAACGCGCACAAGCTAATGCATCGCAGCGTAAACGTAATGCACGCAATAGATTTGTTAACCCAGTACCTGTACTGAATCTTGCACGGCCATCACGAATACGTCGTGCTGTTTTGGCTGAAATGATGCGTGCTGCTTTTAATTACAACAGTCAGATTGATTATAGTATGTATGGATACATTGGAATGATGGACGCAATATGTCCACATTGTGATGCGGCTAACTTTCGAGGTGAAACACCCGGCATGTGTTGTGCTAATGGCAAAGTGAGATTGCCAGCATTAGAAACTCCACCCGAACCATTGTATTCATTTATTTTTGGGACATCGCAAGCGTCGAAGCACTTTCTGAGTCATATTCAACAATACAATTCGGCATTTCAAATGACTTCTTTTGGTGCAACTAAAATTATTAGAGATAATTTTATGCCGACGTTTAAGGTAAATACTTCAACAGGATTATTCCATGTTTGTATCAATCTGAAGCATAAAGTATATTTAAAAAAAAACTGATATAAGATTTACCTAAAATTGTATACATGTTACAGATTCAGGGCCAGATTTATCATCAAGCTGGTTCGTTATTGCCATACCCCGACGCTGATCATCAATTTTTGCAAATTTATTTTATTGGTGATGAAAATCGTGAATTAGATCAACGTTGTGCAATTGTTTCGAATACAAGACGAGAAATTATTCGTGAGCTACAAAGGTTTTTCCATCAGCATAACGCATTAGTTCAATTGTTTAAAATTGCTCTCGATCGTATGCCAACTGATAATCACAAAATCGTAATAAGAGCTGATAGAACACCTTTTGGAGAGCATGCAAGGCGATTTAATGCACCAACAATTGATGAGGTTGCAATTGTAATTCTTGGTGATCAGTTTCAATCCCGTGATATTGTACTTCATCGTAGAAATGAGCAATTGCAACGTGTTTCGGAACTTCATCGTAGTTACGATGCATTACAGTACCCAATATTGCATTGGAAAGGTGACGATGGTTACCATATCAATATACCAATGATTGATCCACGAACAGGTAAATAATTGACCTATTTTTAGTGTGTTGACATTTCATTTCTACAACTTTCTAAAGTCACATTTTGTAATTATTATCAGGTCTACATATAC